TTGCCCAGGTCTTGTGCCTACCCTGGCATCCCATGGGCTACCAGCACCTGTAGCTGCTCCCTGGGGACTCTTGTATCTAGTCTGATGACAATGATACATCAAATAGATTTAGATGGCATACTTAGCTCTGTGCATGTTTAAACATGCAGGCATGGATCTGCAAAAGTGTTTAGGATGCCCTCCCATCCCTGGCAACCTCCACACTCTGATCAGTGTGGTCTCAGTAGCATAACTACATGGGGGGAGGAGGAGGAATGGAAGAGAACCAGGGAAGCAGCCCCAATTGTTGACTTTGTTGGGGGCACACAAGCAGCTGTTGCTGCAGCACCAGCTGAGCATGCTGCCACAACCAGCGCAGCAGGAACTAGCGCTGCCCCAGGTGTGGAGCTGTGCTGCTATGCCTCTGGTGCTCTGTTGGGGACAGGCAGGCATGGGAGTGGATGTGGGGCTGCGGAGCACCTCTGATGTGAGGTACTAAATAAATGTGCATTAGGCTGCCCTAATGCACAGTAGCAAAAGCACACACTTTTTTAGTGACACTTAATGTGTGGTAGCCTATTTTTATTGTACATTAGCTTACTAGTATGGTTTTTGACGTGACACTTTAATGCACAGTAAAATAGGCTACTGCACATTAAAGTGCACCCCTAATTATAAGTGATACTATATTTAGCATAGTCTATTTAGTTTGTTATAGGGTACCACTAAATCTGAGATATCGTGTTGGGGTGATGTGAGCCTAGGAAGGTTGAGAACCACTGCACTGTGTCAGGGAATCAGGATCACATTTCTAATGATCTAGGAAGTCTCATCACTGCTCAGGATGGTGTAACAGCTGAAATTATGTCTGTGTGATAAAGGCACTTGCTGAAGGCTCTATGAAGATTAGACCAAGTGTTTTTCTGTATTTGTTTAGATATTAAGCTGTATGTTGTTGCTAAAAGCCTGATTAAAGTTTAAGATGTAGTGAGGCCTTGTATAAAGTAAGGCCTAGTAAATTTAGCAAAGCCTAGAAGTAGTAAGGCCCTGTGACGCAGTTAAAATTACCTTATCAAAGGAATGCAAGGCTTGTACTGCTGTTGGTCAGTCTAAGGACAGGTGGAGTAAAAGGAATCTGAGTGGTTGTACGTTATCAGAACCATTCAGAAGCTATAAATGAGCTGGAATATCTGGAAACCATTCAGAAGGAAGATACAGCTCTGTGAAAAGGATTATTTAGCTGTTGCCTGGATTGGTGGGCCCATGGACCTCGAGGAGCCCAAGGACTGTATTCCAGGGTCCTTCCCAGTACTCATCAGACAGCACTGATTGGGCACACCTGAGTTTGCTGGATTTTGTGGAAAGAGGAACTTGCTGTGCACCAGGCATCAGAGGGGACTGCCGATAAGTTGCCGACATGAATTGCTTTTGTCTGTCATTGTTTGTCTTGTTACTACACGTAATTGTGTTTTTGTTAAGTCAATAAACCTTTCTTACCTTTCTACCCCGGACCACACTCTCAATCCCGAACCCTCTGCAGGAGCCTGAGACAGATGGGAGCCCGCCCCCAGCAGACCCTGCTGCTTGAGCTCCATGCACAGACGTTTGTCAGAAGCCAGGGGTGGCTGGTTGTTGTCCAGTAGGTCAAGGATTCATAGTTACTTAGATTAAATGCATGGCTGGATTTCACACATTGTGGATTGATAAATCCATATATTACAGTACTAAAATACAGGAATAAAAACAATTTATCTCTTGAGGACATGTGCAGTGATTGGAGGAGTTTAGTAGAACTGATCAAAATTTTACATACATCAATATTTTTTTTAAAACATGCCATCACATACTTTTGGGTGGAAACTTTCAATTTTCTTGAAATATGTCCCCAGCTAGAAAGGTGCCAGTAAAACTTTTTCTTGGGCTTCTTGTCATCTTTGGTTCATCAGGCTCTTTCTGCAGGAGTGACTCTCATTGCTGAGGCTCAGTGTAAAACAGGATCTTTCCAAATGAACATTTCCAGTTTGGAAAACACTGAATTTTGAACGTGGCAACATATTGACTGGAAAGTATCAAAAAAAGATTTTTTTTTAAATGGAATCAAACACCTCTTTGCGGGTTTACTAGGTTTCTGAAAGTATTTTTTTCAACACATCTAATTTGTGGATCCCAATTTGTATCAGTGTCACATCCAAAATGGGATCCATGCTGGCACAGACACTGCGTTGTAGCAGGGCACACACGGGGAGGAAGGGGCAGCACACTTCCTCCCCCCCACCCCAGACACTGCGTGTCTTAGTGTGTCACTGGTAGGTCGCATGTGCTCTCCGCCAGAGTCAGCTGTGGAGCTATTAGCCCCTTCAACACTAGCAAATGTGAGGGCTTGCAGGGCAACAATGCCATATCTATTTCTCAGGGAAGCAGTGTAATGGGGGTGTAGACCCAAAAGAAAGGGAAGACAGCTTCACTAAAAGTGGAGGTGAAAAAGTAGATTGGGAGCTCCACACTGGGTTGATAAAATGCCACCGTCCCTGCATCATAATCCAGAAAGACCCCAATCTTCGCGACGGTCCCATGCAGAGGCAGGATTGTCTCTGGGGCAGTGCGAGCCCGGTAATGACTCCCACACTGATCCACAGCCCAGATCCCTTCCTTGGGGGAAAACTTGATCCAACCTTTCCTTCTCAAAGACTCCTTGGCCACCCCCACAGCCCAGGTCCTCCCACCTTCCACCTCCACCTCCCAGTAG